CTCCTCAGTCTTTTCTCATCGACGACACGCATACTCCCTTGGCTGCTATACCTTTGCCATTCTCATGTGACGACTCTTACCTTTCGGACTGGCCGGAGGAGTTTTGTCAGAATGTTTACCGGTTGGTTGAAATCAAACCTTTACCGAGACCGCCGGTTTTTCGAACAAACATCTGGTAGCCCACCCGTTTCATCAAAATGATCATTCACATTGCTTCACTCACCTTTTTCGGCCATTTCACCCAGCCAGCTGTTGTTCCCCATGCGCAATCCCCGAGAAGAATTGTTTTACGACTATCTTGTTGAGAAGCAACCACGAAATCGTTTCCATATTGTAGGAGACCGAAACCCATTCCTGCCTCACCATCTTTATCTACTATCCAGTTCGTTGGATATGTCGCTAACCCGCGAGCCAACACGCCACTGGCTCGCTTCAATGTCGTCCCTTACTACCAAGACGGTCAAGAAGACAATGGTTAGACAAAATTTGCTTTAGTTTATGATGTCAATTGAAATATGTTTTGTTCTCCAGAAGTAGAGGATCCGGGTCCTATGATCATTCCGCAGTTCTATCGCAAGTTGGAATTACGACGCTCAAGGAGTGGACGACTTGATGATACTACTATACTAAAATACAACAAGACTGACCATGCACCTATGGAAACTATCACATCTAGCTCCATCATTAACCCCATAGTGCTAGTAAGTTACACATCTAGATTCAAAAATACTTTTTCAAGCTGCTTTCCGAAGTGCTATTGTTTGTAGATACTTTACCATGTACCAGCTCTTCGCAATCTACTTTTATCTCATATCTGTGAGGTGGAGCATTGTATCGCCTGTCAAATGGGTTTTGTATTCAGAATCATTAGCGACAAAACCAAGTTGAAGGAAACTGCTGCTGTGAGTTCTACTCATCTAGTCTTATATCTGTACATGTTCATACTGCAGTGTACGAATCTCATTCGTTCTCTTTTGGTGAGTCGAGGATGTGAATTGATGGGACCAGTACAGACTACGACACAAAATCTATTCTCCAATGTGGTTAACATGATTAATGGGGTATATTTTACATCTGTATTCATCCGGTTTGCTTATTTCTTGGCCATTCCAGTCAATGATCGAAGGTGAATGTAAAGCTTTGGCCGACATTTTGGAGTCTGATCTGACTGTACTATCGAGATGTATTCGTTGCGGTGAACTGAATGCTTCGGATGAGAAGAAAGTTGTTATCTCGCTAAATTACCCTGAAGGTAGTACTAGCGGCGCTTTGGTGATGCATCATAATTTGGTTTTCAAGCTGCAAACGAACGGACTATGAGTTACTTGCTGGAGAAGGCTTTGCATGCTAAAGGGCAACGTGAAGGACCATGCGCCTCGTGCAATGTCACGGTGAGATCAGTGCAGATCACTTCCGTCTCTAGTTTTGCCATACATGATTTTAGACAAGGACTGACGATACCAGGAGAGTACAAAAGTTGGCACCGATACTCTTGATTGACACAAATCCATCTAACCCGAAGTTTGCGGAGTTTTGGGACAAGCAACTCAAAGTAAGCCAATCTGATGCATAAGATTTGCGTATGCTTTTGTTTGTAGTTCTCTGAGTCGAGACCTCGCTATCGCGTTCCGGAAAAGGAATGCACTTTGGATGGTGGATCTCGTCCCGAACGACCTTGCCGCTACGGGGCTGAATGTCGCAATAGGTTGGTCGTAAAATCTGATTATGTCTTTTGATGATTTTTTATTCCAACTCAATAAGTTGATTTTTAGGACTTACTGCAAGTACTCTCATGGAACTGATGATTGGGATGTTGAATGTGCTACTTGGCTTGAAGACAGTGGTTGTGGTGATTGGAAGCACTTCGTTTCCCCTTCATTTTGCGCGAGAGTAAGTTTTTCTGCTTTTTCAAAAGCTTAAAACTTTATTAATACTAGTGAACCAGCTATGTAAAGGGCTAGATTCGCATC